TCCAGAGCAAGGTATAATCAGTTTAATGAACACGTGCTATGAACTGATTGTATTTTGATATTACTTATATTACAGTATTATGTGATATTACAATGCATTCAAACCTGAAAGAACATTTTCAAGCGTACGGTTTGCAAATTCACCTCACTGTTGTTCTGTTAAAGGTCACCTCCGGCTGCTCTTTAGCACGCTTGTGTAATTTGTGGTTCACTTTGCTTTGCATTAACCTGTTGTGTGAAAAAATTCCCCAAGAATAAGCTCTGGGCAATGGTGCATTTGTGGTAGAAGATAAAAAATTTGGTCATATGGATAGTGATACTTATCACGATGAGTACAGGATGTAGAATTAGTTGCGTGTCAGTGCCTGAAGAACTTTACTGAGCGCAACAGCGCCATTATGCAGAAAGAGAACTTAACACTTAAATGACAGCCTGTCTGCGGACTGTCATAAATGGTTAGAGTAAAATAGGTGGCATGAAGAAAGCATGAAAAAAGTATGCTAAAAACAACATATAAATAAACCTCCATGATGATCATAAGGCTGATTTAGCATGTACGCGACGGCAAATATGAGAATCAGCCATAATAAGCTGAAGTGAAACATCTGTCAGTTAGTGTCTGGGTTGTTGTTATGTCTGGGTTTTTACCAAGCGTGTGGTTGCTGACGGTTTGTGCAAGCTGCAAAGATGTCTCAAAGATCACTCTGGAGAACGAGGCAAATGGTGTCCAACCGATGCTTGGTAACAGGTGCGTTGTGGGAAATACGGTTGCTCAGATGCCGCTGACTAATTGGGGCTTATTAGGTATTGCTGGGAAGCGCAAACAACACCTGGGGCCTTTGTCGAGCTGTCATGGGGATATGGGCAGAGTCCTGCCCGAGACTGGGGTCCTCAGTTCATGTTTTCACTGATGACGGAACGAGAGCTGGAAATCATATGGTTGCCATGTGAACTGTAAGAGCGACCTTTATGATGAGTCAGTTCTGAGCTACAACAGTTTAATCTACAAAGATTCTTTAAGCTATGTATATCCGTTGCACTTTTGCCACAAAACAAGTGGCTTGCTGCTGTGCTTCAGCACGTTTCCTGCCGCACTTATTACACCTGTAAGAATCCGAATAAACTTCCTCTGCTCTGCTTTTGTGTCTCTCGCTTCCACCAAACCTTTCCCACATTAACTGTCTTGCTCTCCACCAGTCAGCTATCAAGTCTGAACAGGATGTTAGTCTTCTGACACCACAAACACTTCCTTTGGCCTATAGCAGTGTAGTTGTGTACAGGAAGACGGCTCTTGTTGGCCAGCTGGACTGTGGATACCTGCTACTGGAGATGCATTCACGTTTTTGTCTATGTGCCCTTCATATGAGCGTCTTATTAATCTTTCATTATGATGAATTAGTTTTTTCTTTAGAAGAAGAGACAAAAGATTCATTATTTAGACAGGACGATCTGGCGTCCCTTCCAGTCTGCAGTTGAAGGACAGGGCGGGTGGGGGTAATGGTGAAGTGGGGCAGGCCGGAGACGGCGCTGCTGAGTCTGACAAACCAGACCATCAGGTTTCACATGCTGTCAAATCCCTAGATGAAAGGCGGCAAAGGTCTCCACAGTAACACTGAGGTCCAGACTGCATTGAGGACCTTGCAGACGGCCCAGTGAAATCACAAACATGAGTTGTCAGCAGCGAAACTACCCACTCAAACCAGTTCTGAGAATGAAATTTCAGTGGGTGGATCTAGAGTTGTTTTGAAACACATCCATCAGTTTCTGAGAAGGCGACTCGCAGATTTTGATGGGTAATTTAAGTTTTGGTTGGTTGTTTGTTGTTTATTGTTTGTTGTTGGTTGTTTAAAGTGTGAAAAAAGTGTTTACTGAAAATGGCTCGAATGGGACAACTTGTGTCTGGTAGTTGATGCATGGTGTAATTTTGGACCGGTGTACCAGTAGAGTATCAAGTGAAACGCAACCTGGACAAGGAGGCCATTGTTCTTCACTGCTGCTCAAGGAAATGGCCTTGCTGGATATTATTGGCATTTGGCAGCAGGATTGTGCCACTGTCTATGCAGCTGTACCTTATTGTGTTCTTCTAGGTGACTGAGACACGCTTCCTGTGTGAGGGGTGTTGAACTGTGTGCAGCAAACAGTGATGTTGAAGTGAGGTGGGTGCGTCACACAGATGTCTCAGATTCCTGCCTTTGTCTCCAGATACCATTCCACATGGTTGCATAGTCTCTACAGTGACTCTGGCCTGACGGGGTATTTGCGTCTTTCAGTGTTGAGGCTTTGGCAGCTTTGCCCTGGCAATTTTATCATGTCTGCGCAAACAAGGTGCGCAGAGGTATGCAAATACATATTTTGACAGGCAGGCAGGACAGCCTGTCGTAATGTTCAGACCGAACATTTTGATTGGACGAACATTTTATGGTCCTACGCCTTCCACAGACGATATAAATACATAGAAATAAATTTAGACCACTTCACTTAGTGATTGCTATCGAGATGTGAAGAGACTTTCAACCAGCCTAACAAAAAATGTTTTTGAATCAAATCTGCTACCCTGCCTTTTAAGTCACAATGTCATGGAATGTCATCTTTTCTTCTGTAATGTGACCCATCAGAGTAAAATGAATTATCAAAAAATATAGGTTGGGGACTTTATTCTATCATTGGTTGTTGTTGATAGGATGGAGGCAGATCTGATTGAGAGCTTGCAGTATTGCATATGTCACTAAAGAGAAATCTTGTTTCAACAGAACTTCATGTTAAGATATTTACTTAAATTATGTTGTAATTAAGAAATAAAACCTAAAATAATTGTTCACTGTAAGATCATTAAGATGCATATAGAAAACAGTGAATTACCATTTCAAGCCAACTTAAAGTTTTTTTTTGTTTTTTTTGGACAAATATAATCTATTCTGAACTGTTCTGATAAATGGGTGAACACATGGATATTATGTTGGATATTACATTTTCCACAACTGTGTGGCTACAAAGTAGTAGTAATTCCAGTTTTCATTGCATTACAGTTGCATGTCACATCTCGACATTATTTCAGATGAACAGAACTTCAAAGATGTGCATAGTGTACCATTACAAAACAACAACAACAACAACAACAAAAAAAGAGGCATTGGGCAAGCAAATTGTATGACAAACTATTTTAACTTCGAACTTATGCAATTTATTCAGCTAGCAGAAAGCTGAATGGGGCAACTCTCCAGCCTAAAATCTAAAATACTGTAATTATATCTAATATTGTGACTATATGTCTGGAGCCAGGGCAGACATGCAGGTAATCACGCTTGCTTGCTCACACTGTCTGTGTCTCACACACACACAACTGTGTTACTCAAATGCGTCCATTAAATTTCACGTGTTCAGCAGTCCATCATCAGTTATTCCTTATTAAACACTCTAGAACGTCGGTCTCATCATTTCCCCTTTTAAAAGGGGATTTTAGATTGGGGGGAAATGTATAGCTTTTGTGGTGTGGTGGAAATTACACACTAATTGTACGTATTGAAGATTGTGGTAATTCTTGTAAAATGAGATAGACATTCATATAAACAAGGTGATAGTTCTAAAGTGACGTAGTTTTACACATCCCGTGAGGTTTCATTACTTTGTGAGTCACTGAATAGTAATAGTAAGCATCCAGTCCTGCATACAGTTATGTGTAGGCTAGGTGTAGAAGACTGTATGTCACATGAACTCTCACTTCATCTTAATTCATGGGGCAAGAACAGATTGTAGCTGAAGGACAGTTCTGGCATGTAGCGTTTACTCCGAAGGAAAATTCCAGAACTCTACTTGAGCTATTTTTGGTTTCCAACATGTGTCTGATCAATGCAGGACTACTGCTTATGCTTTAGATAAAGCCTAGCGCACACTACAAGAAGGAAGCTTGTTAGCCTTTCATGTTGTTGAAGTCTGCAGCACAAGGCTCTAGATTCCAGATCCAGAATCACAGACGCTCATCTAGTGTGCACACTCAAGTAGTCGCGGATGCTGCAATGCATTTCAAACTTGCTTCCTTTCAAACTGCCTCTAAACAAGCTACAGCAGTGAGCAAGAGTGAGCTTTTGTCTGTGATTGTGTAAAATATGCACCATAACGTGACAGAAAACAAGAAACTGAGTCTTTAAGGCCGTGTTTCCACCTGGTATTAAGATGTGTTTTTGTGCTCCAATTACAAGTGTTCAGCGCTAAATACATGTGGAAACAGGGTGTTAAACGTTTTGTCATTTGATCACTGAAACCACATATGGAGGTAGTCAAAAACGTATGTGTAGTGTAAACACTCAATGTGTCCCAGGCCATAGTAAAACATTGCATACTTGCCAACCACTCACCAAAGACTTGATTGTTCTGGGACATGTTGTGAGAAAGTGCACCAAAACAAGTTATTTAAACTTCACCAAAACATATGGTTTATGCAAAAAATTGCAGATCCCCCTTATCCTTTTCATTCTCTTCCTTTCCTGCTGACTTTTCAGTAAGCTGTGTAAAAAAAAAACTTTGCTCATTCAGTCATATATGTGTGCGGCACTCCTGTGAAAATTATGTAGAGGGTGACAAAATAAGAGGGGAGTGTCTTTATGAAATCTGAGCACAAGTGGTCAGTGGAGACACATTTGAAAAGCATGTTAATACCAGGTGGAAATTGTAATGCGACAAGACTGACCACTTGCGATCAGATCACTGAAAACACATCTTAATACCAGGTGGAAACAGGACCTAATGTTCACAGGCTGACCAGCTTTGATTTCCAAAATAATGACAGGTTTTAAACGAACACTCCCCCGTCTACCATTTTTTGGACACACAGATGGTCCTGCCCAAACCAGTTAATGTTGTTATGCCTGGCCCACTCAAAAAGATTGTTTGGTGCTGTTAGAGGCACAGAAATTACAGCCCTTTTAAGTTTATATTTAATTTGTTGATGGTCCCTTTTTTACCTTTGGCCTGCCAGTAATCGTTCTGTTCTGTGTTTGTTTCCAGGTGACACCGAGGAGCTTCCTGGGCCACTGAGACGTGACTTCGGGCTGGGCGTCTCATTTCCTGTGCCCCTGCTGGCCCAGACAAGCTTCCCTCTGAATGACTACTGGCAGTCTGGTTGCAGGGCTTTGCCAAGCTGCCACCATGAGCAAATACTCCCAGTACTTCAACAAGACCCTCATAGAGGTCCACTATCGCATTGCCAAGAACATGAGCCAGAAGGAAATCAAAGACCGCATGGAGAGTAAACAAAGCCTGAGCGCCCTGAACATTTTATTTGTCATAATCTGCAGTATCATCATCTTGGAAAACCTCCTGGTGCTCATTGCCGTGTTCCGCAATAAAAAGTTCCACTCTGCCATGTTCTTCTTCATCGGGAACCTGGCCTTCTCGGACCTACTGGCTGGCTCCGCCTATATTGCCAACATCTTCCTGTCAGGCCCTAAAACATTTCATTTGGTGCCTGTCCAGTGGTTCATACGAGAAGGGACTGCTTTCATCGCACTGGCTGCCTCAGTTTTCAGCCTGCTGGCTATCGCCATAGAGCGCTACATTGCCATCACCAAGGTCAAAGTTTACGGCTCCAACAAAACTTGCCGCATGTTCCTTTTGATCGGAGCATGCTGGGTGATGTCCATCCTTCTGGGAGGGCTTCCCATTATTGGTTGGAACTGTATTAATAACCTGGGGGATTGCTCCGTTGTCCTGCCTCTCAACTCCCGATACTACATCCTGTTTGTCGTCACCATCTTTACCATAATCTTGCTGTCCATTGTGATCCTTTACGTTCGCATCTACCTTATTGTGCGTACCAGCCACCAAGAGGCCACCAATTCTCCAGCTTACGCTCTCCTGAAGACTGTCACGATCGTACTTGGCGTTTTCATCATTTGTTGGTTGCCCGCCTTCACCATCCTTCTCTTGGACACTTCTTGTTCGATGAAAAAATGTCCTATCCTCAACAACGCTGACATCTTCTTCAGCATCACCACACTGAATTCGGCACTGAACCCGCTGATCTACACGTTGCGGAGTAAGGACATGAGGAAGGAGTTCCTCAGGGTGCTTTGCTGTTGGGGGCTGCTTAATTGTGGCAGGCCTCCTCACCGCTGCATGGTGCCACTCAAGAGCTCGAGTTCAATGGAGCACTGCACCAACAAACACGAACATCAGTCAATTCCCATCATGCAGGACTGCACTACTTGTGTCTGATTTCGTCTCCTCAGTGCCCAGGTGTTTGAAGACAAGTGGAGACCCTAGGCAAGGCACAGAAGACAGAAGTGTTCAGAGACCTCACTGATGAAACGAGAATCACAATCAATGTCTTCGGACTCTTGGACATTTAGGGCAGATATCACAGCTGTGCTAGCGGACTCTCACGTGTCCTTTTGTTGCTTCTGTCCTTGCAAAAGTTCCTGAACATCACAGAATGAGACTTCACCACGTATTTGACATTTTAAGGCAAAATTTAAAAAAGCCAAATTTAAATGGGAATGTCCATTTAAGCTCTTTGACAAAGCATGAACAATTTAAAGTTGCACTTTGTAGACTTCTAGGCAGCTTGGGATTGTATATTTCTCATATGCTGACCAACCTACCAGAAGTCGCATACAAGATGTATCCTATCCACAAGTAGACTACCACTGTCTTGGTTCAGAGATTTGAGAGGACAGATTGAAATGTACGGATCGACAATGCACTCCATGTGAGCCAAACAACCATGCATGCTTGCAGAACCTCTCCTAATGTATTCATCAAATTACTTGATATACATAACATCCTTTGATTACCGACAATAAAAGTATTCTTCATACTTCATTGTATTGCATGAAAGTCTAACCTGTGTAAAAACGAATATGTATGTCAATGTTACTCCTCTTTGTCCATATTGTCCATCTAAACTCACTGTCCCTTAATATTTTATTTTTCTTTAACTTTCCTAATTTTTTCCTAAGAGGAAAGCACAATCAGAATGTGATAACTGAATTCCTGATATGAGTTTCTCAGCAACTGGTGTAAACGCTGGTTGTGTTGGCATGACAATGCCGTAGCTTCGCCGTGGCAGCGTATGCTTTGTTTTGTGCCCTCTTGACGAATTGAACTGAATATAAGAATGAAGTGTTACGAGCGAACATTTTCGCTGATCGACAGTATTACCGAACATCATTGTTCTCCTGTTGATTATTGAGCTTGCAGTAACAAGAATGGACACTCACTGTGAAGTCTTAATGACGTTTAAAGTCAATTGAAATTGATACGCCATTGATAAGACAGGAAACTTTGAGATTAGGACAAATTGAGCATGCCTTTCTCTCTTTTGAAGGCATATTCATTCTGAGATATGGGGGTTGTTAGGTGTTATGCTGTCTTTTAATTGGCCACAAGTCTTTAGAAGAAACTTTAAACTTCCTGTAACCACTGGAAGTCCAGTGTTTCCTATGCTTCTTCCCATTGTTAGGGACTGACTTTAATGTTCCTATACGTTAATATCATCAGTCCAACACTTTCACTTCACAGCCATTGACTGTTTGATCCCAGCATGTTTTAGTTTCCTCTGCTGATCGGTTTAGTTCAGCAGAGAAAGCACTTTGGCAGCTCTTCCAATACTGACCTAATGTATTTTGGTTTTTCTTTCTTTCTTTTTTTTAATGCATGAAGAGTTTAAGCCTGTGTGAGCATCCCTATCACTCCGTTCAATGTAAAACATTGCCTATCCTGTGGAACAATGTTTATTTTATATGATAAATATATTAAAGTTTGTATGTATCCGTGTACAGTATGTATGTAATGTGTATACGTATAGAATGTCTTGTGTGCAATAGCCTTGTGTTTTAGTAGCAAGCTACCTGTTCTAAATCGGTACAATCCCAAACACTAATGTAGGTACATACACATTAGTTCATTCCTTTTTAAAATTAAAATAAATTAAATACAAAAAAAAAAGTTTTGCTTTGTTGTTATTCTCTGTTTTATATTTTCTAAAGTCGTAGTTGAAAATCTCTAGATTGACAGTTTCACAAATGCTTTTAGCATACACTTAAAAGTGGTTGTTGTGTGCGTGACAGAAATGATTAATGCCACTACGTAATTTGCTTCAAGTTTCAGTCCTATGCAGTATTGGGTTAACAATCTGAACACAAGAGCTTTATCCCACATATTACAGAAATCTGACTAGACAATAAAAAAGTGAAACTAAATGCTAACATGCATGAACATGGTTAAGGCCCGACTCGCTATGACATGAATCTCTTCACAAACAATATTGCCTAGAATTGCTGGCCTCGATTTCTGACAGTCCAATAAGTGCCAATTCCAAGGTTTTGTGGGAGTGCAGATGTTTAGCCGAAGGGTTTAGCAGGAAAGAGGGAGTACAATGATAGATCAATAGGAATAGCATTATGGGAAAGGGTTGTCTGGGAGGCCGAGGGTGCTCTTAGCACAAAAAAAAAAAAGGATTGTGAACTCTGACTGAGTGGGCTTAAGGATGGTCTGGCCTGGTTGTTGTCAAACATCCAGAATTCCTAGGTGGGAACAGCAACCCACCCTGGGAGGCAACACAGCTGGGAATATGGCCAAGAGTCAGCAGGAAGAGACATCAGCCATACTGAAACAACTGCAGACATATACAGTTGTTTTCAGTACAGTCTTTATGATTAATGACCATCCTGTACTCCCACTCTCTCCGGCATATGTGAGAACACGTTTGTTCTGAGAAGACATAGCAGAAACTACAATTGATGTACAAGAGTGACACCTTGTGGTCGGACAAAGAAAAGATTCTAACGGTATTTGTTAAAAAAATGTACTGGCTTGTTGCGCCATCTATAGGATAAACTAAGATTACAAGATTATGATCATAGGATCAGAATGATGAAAAAGAAAAAGCATGCAATTGAAGCATATCTTCATTTCTAAATTATATTTTTGATTTAACTTTTTTTTTGTTTAAATGCAAATGCAATATAAAGCTAATTGGATTTTGGAAAATGTGGGGGAAAATGTGTTATTTAAATTTTAGTTTAATTATTTAAACGTGTTAATATTGATCTTTGGTTATCTTTCCTTCAAAGGTCTGTATACTGCATTTATTTATTTGTTTAAATGTCATTCGTATGCTTTATTAAATATGTAAATTATTTATTAAAATAATATAACACTAATTAAAATCAATTCTAATTCTGAATACTAAATACTAAACATATGAACTTAATTTAAACAGATTGGAACTGGTCGGCTCGGTGTCCGATTTCTATTCGTCACCGGCAGTGTTCAATATTTACATTGGAAGAGTTAATGAAAATGAGGAGTGAATTTGCACCCCTGAGGGAAGGCAAAATGTGGTACATCCCAATTGGTTGAGACTCTGAAGCCGTAGAAGGGGTACACACGAAAATAATCCTTGGAAACCATGTAAGATTTCGTATTCTTTCACTATTAAAGTTTATATTTCATAATATTGCTAAGTTTTCCATATACTCAAAACAATGTATCTGAACAGTTTTAAACCCAAATAGAAACGCACAACTCATTTGACCCCCGTACTTTAAATGAGTGGTAGCGTCCAACTCACCCGCGTTTCCGCGCGAAAAAGCGGCCCGCGCGTATTTCTCAGCTGCTAGCGACAATTCATAAAGCCCGCTGCTGTTGGCACTGTCAGATCTTAATCACAGCTTTTACCTGTTGTTTTAAATCGTGTTTTTAATTAGTCATTTTCTTTGATTAAACTCGAACTTGAAATGCCTACCAGGACCTCATTGTCTTTGCCGGAGGATGTCAAGGAACGGTACGGTGCTGTATTTGCCCTAATGGAGCTAACTATAGACTGACTTTCATAGTTTGCTCTTTTCGCGGGCTTTGCTCGTTGCTGGTTACACGTTGATCTCGTCACATAACAGACGCTGTATTATGTGCTGTTTGGAGAGGAAAAACATGTTAAGTTTTTACTCTAGTTAGCATTTAGCCGTGCTACAAATGCTGTACCCGCCATCAGCTCGCGTGTAGTGGGTAAAACAGGCGGCGGCTGGTTGTTTTGATGCAAACAAGAGTCACGGGTGTCAGTCTGACTACATTTGGCGCCAAATACACGTGTCAGAGTGAAGCCCTGCCCGCCTCCTGTCTCCCTCTACTCAATCACTGCACCGGTCATTGGACTCCTACCTACTGAATCCTGCTGCGTTTTGTGTAACTTAAAAGCATCTGGAGACGTTAACAATAAATGCCTACTGTCTCTGCGTGCGTGTGTGTGTGCGCGCTTGTTTACTTGCGTAAATTAATCCCACGATAGCGTCTCTCTGAGACTGTCAGCTGAAGAGATAAATAAATATCTCTAATAGTGTTAAGATTAAATGTTAAAGATTGTAATCTAATTTTAAATGTTTATTGCACGTCGAGTCATTTTGATTTTTTTTTTCCAAATTGTGTGGAGATGTGCTGTGCATTTAATGAGATGTTTACCTTCATGTTCCCAGGCTTCAGGTGCTGGATGAAGGTGGAGACAGTTTGTCAGATGAGGTGAGGGTTTTTCATAGCAGTCTTACGAATTATATTCAGATCAAACGGTCAGGTTATTGGTGATTTCTACATGCCCTTCATGTAGTGGAAGTAAGTAGTTTAAAGGGGTCATATGATGCCATTTCAATTTCTTTTCTATTTGGAGTATTACAAGCTCTTGGTGCATAAAGAAGACCTGTAAAGTTGCAGAGACTAAAGTCTCAAATCCAAAGATATTCTTTATAAAAGTTAAGAGTCAGCCACGCCTACCTAAAATGGCTCGTTTTAATCCGTGCTGGTCGCTGAGGAAATAAACCAACTTTGTGCTGTGATTCGCCGGATCGGCTTTCACTGTGGACGAAGCGGAGTCCAGCCCGGGGTCATCACATGTGGTTGCCGCAAGCCCTCCGGACGCTCCTTCGTCGAATCTGCTGGCCGCGCCGTTCTCAAGCCCACCGCCTCTGCTCACTCTAGCCCCTGGCCTCTGCTCACTCTAGGCCATTGTGTGACGCTGTTTCATTGTGAAAGCGAAACTACTTTGTTTGGTCTTCCAAAAATGGACACGACTAGAAATCAGTGGTTAAGTTGTATTTACTACACTGTTCCAGAACAGTTTAACCCAAATATTCAGATGTGCAGCACATTTTATGGAGGATTGTTTCCTGATCCTAGTAGAGTAGACTACAATGCCGGCTGGTCTGAAGGTGTTTTTTTTTTTTTTATATTTAAAGAATTTGCCAATGATTCAAACGAGTTGAGGAGTGCACAGTAGGGCTTGTTTGTCATTTCTCCAATCACAAATGCAGACATGGTTTTATGTTTAGGTGGCGCGATGCAGCGTGTAAAAAGACAGTACAAGTCATAATCCATAATTATGTCCCCACTGGATGCAACGAATGCCTCGTTTATAATGGTTTTATTGTTTTTGAATCATCGCTCCGGCTGGACAGGGCATCACAGTATGGTGAGGGGTGTAACATTTCCATCACACGCTCGAGGTATTCGGCCAATCACAATGCACTGGATAGCTGGCCAATCACAGCACACCTTGCTTTTCAGACCAATGAGCTTTGTAAAAATCAATGCGTTTCAGAAAGGTGGGGCATACAGAAACAATGTACAGTATGTGGAAAATGTGTTTTGAACCTTAAACTGCATAAACTCATTTCATTACACCAAAGACGCTAAATGTTATTTTTAGCAACATCATAGCACCCATTTAATAACAGTTACTGGATATCTGGTCCAACACATCCCTTTTTTTTTATTTTTTATATATATATATATATAAAGGAAGAATTTATAGGCAAATTGTCTGCGACTCTAATTTCATGCCAACATTTATATAAAAATCTCTTTACCGCCTAAGATTTGTGAATTATTGTAAACATAATACTTTATGGAGTGGCTCAGTAGCTCAAACAGTAGACCATGGGCAACACTAAGGTAATGGGTTCAAATGTGTCCCAATGAAAGCAAAAACTGATAATGTAAATGTGTTTTTTTTTTTTTGAGTCTAAACCGAGTCTGCCAAACTCATTCATACATTTCTTGAATGTTTCTGTAGTTTTACTTGTTTTCTTTCTTCATTTGTGTAGGAGTGTGTAAAGGAAAAGCTCAGGTTACTGCAGGAGTTCCTACTTGCTGATACTCAGGACCAGCTCAAAATCCTTGAGGACAAGTTAAAGAGCTCCGAGCTTTCCACTGTGAGTTACGCTGCCCTTTCAGTTCTCCTGTATAGAACTGTTGAGAGCTTGTGCTCCAACTTGTGTCTTTCTGTTTAGGAGGTTTACACGTCAGAGGTGAAGGCCGTGCTGAAGAAAGCTCTGGGAGTTGTCAAGGAGGATGAAGGAGTGGAGCAGAACGGACATTCAAATAGCTTCTCTGAAAATGGGTCTCACAAAGACGATGGTGAGCAGGAGGGAGCCATGGATACTCGGGAGGAAGGAGATGCTATGAAGTCTCCCAGCGCCCCGAAGGGAAGGGGAGGCCGTCGCAGTAAAGCAGATTCTGAGCCCAAGAGTGAGTTGCAGGGGTTACAGCTTTTAATTGCCCTCCATATGTTACAATGCCTGTATCTCTACATTGATTTTTTTGTAAATTATGTATTGAAATTATATTGTTAATGTTGCCGTGAGTATAGCTATTGTTGTTGATATGGCATTAAAACACAAGTATGTCTACATTGTGTGCTGGATGTAGAATATTTAGTCTTTTTATAAATGGCACATTTTGTTCTCCAACAGAATCTCCAGCCAGTACCAGGGTTACGCGTAACTCTGGAAAACAGCCAACTATCCTTTCCATGTTCTCTAGAGTGTAAGTCAACGTTTTTAAGAGTTGTCCTCTTGTTCAAATCTGATGTGCGGTTTGTGAAGTGACAGTTTTGCACTTGGGCAGTTGAAATCAGATTGAGTTTGAATTAATCTTTTGTAGGGCAGCTCCCTAGTAGTCGACTAATCGTTAGTCGGCCAAAATGTTATTAGTTGCTTAGTCGCAGAAAAAAAAAATCCACAGGCAAAGTCACGCAGTCCGTGATGGACAGATTGTTAATGGCTAGTCTATGGTAATACAGTACATCCAGCAGGACATCCAAATGCTCGCCTATCATTCATCTACCACAAATATGGCATATCATCTGAAACTTGTAAATTGCAGCAACGTTACATGGCCTCTCAATCTAATGTTAACCTAGGGAAATGTCCGCTATTCAAGTGTCTGTGGAAGCTGAAGTGAGCTCACTGCAGGATAGATCGAGGCGCCGGTGCGCTCACTTGCTCTAAAAATACTGTAATATTTGGTCATACAGATAAGAGTAATACATCTGTGAAGACTCTACATTTATTTGTGCACTCACAATAAAACATGCTTTTGTAAAATAATGAAAGCAAACGGGATGCGCTTTCTGCTGTCTCAGTCTGTGAACTTGAGTGCGAAACTGAGTATATCTTTGCCTTACAGACATTAAAAATGTATCGATAGAGTGAAATGTCTACTTTCAAATAGAAAACAAATATTCTCAGATTATGTAGGCCTAATCCATATGAAACATGAATACAGGTGCATCACTACTGCGGAGATGACGAGTCCGTGTCGCTGACTTCATCTCTTAAACCAAAACAAAGTAATTATTAAAATGTTGATGCAGCCTCCTTACTGTTTTTCCCTGACAAATTCATAATCATAGCTTCTGCAGTGCCCTGAGGCAAGCTTTATGCGTGCGCTTCTAGGCTTTGAAGGCAATTAAAGGCTCATTATTTAAATGGTTTAGTAAAAAAGTGCAATTAGTCTACTAATGATTAAAATGAACGACTACTAGTCGACCAGAAAAATCCTTAGTCGAGGGCAGCCCTAATCTTTGGTCACTTTATAAGTGGGTTTTGTACCTTGTTCCAATAGCCCAAAACGCAAGTCTGATGAGCTGAATGGAGATGTCACAAATGGTGATGCAGAAGTGAAGCCTGAGGAAGATATTACAGAGGAGGTAAGATTTTGACATTTAATGCTGTTTTAAGGAATCCATAGAAATATTTTAATAGGAAAAAAATCTTCCCCCGGTCAAGGTCCATGAAGAGAAACGTCTTAAAACAGAAGCTGTGGAGTGAGTTCCATGTTAAAGTCAAATTAAACCAGCCTTTCTCCATATGCAATGCATCTGTGAATTAATAAATCTTATCCCCCCTCCTCCTTTCAGTCCTGATACTGAGAACACTACTAATGGCACGAACAAGCCTGTATCTGCAGCCAAGGTGACGCTCATTTCATTCCCCATTTATGCTGCTGCTTGAGTTAATGCGCCAAATGAATCTCATTAATCTGCATTTTAGACCCCTCCACCAAAATGTCCTGACTGCAGGCAGTATCTGGATGATTCAGACCTCAAGTTCTTCCAGGGAGATCCTGATGATGCTGTGAGTTTTGTTATTCCTTGAGCTGTTCTGTAGTGTTTTTTTTATATTTATTTATTTTTTATTTTTTTGGGAAGTTGCCAAGCGATATCACTTTAATTGGATATTTAAGAAAAATATAACTCCTTATTGATCCACATCAGCAATTTAAAGTTGACTTATTGTGCCTTTTGTAACGCTTTAATATTCGGAATTTTTTTTTTTTTTTGTCTTGTCTCTGGTAGTTGGATGAACCAGAGATGTTGACTGATGAGCGTCTATCCATCTTTGATGCAAATGAGGATGGTTTTGAAAGCTATGAAGATCTGCCCCAGCACAAGATAACTAACTTCAGGTAATAAGGGGAAGTGAGTCATACTAAATGGTATTCATATCCAGTTATTTGACTGACGTTACAAACCTGATTCACAGTGTGTATGACAAGCGTGGGCACCTGTGTCCATTTGACTCTGGCCTCATTGAGAAAAATGTGGAATTGTACTTTAGTTGTGCTGTTAAGCCCATCTACGATGACAACCCATGCATGGATGGTATGTCCCATGTTTCTTAACAGTGAAGGCTTACTATTTTGCCAATTTAGGGTTTAGTGTAGATTCAATTGTTTGCGATTTTGTTCTCTTTAGGTGGGGTTCCTGCCAAGAAGCTTGGTCCTATCAATGCTTGGTGGATTACTGGTTTTGATGGTGGGGAGAAAGCTTTAATTGGCTTCACCACAGGTAAACATTTCAAGTAATCGAAGTCTCATCTTAGTTAGGTCGGTCCATGCACATGAGATCCAACCGGTTTTATTTCTTCTCCACAGCCTTTGCTGACTACATTCTAATGGACCCCAGTGAGGAGTACTCTCCCATTTTTGCCCTGATGCAGGAGAAGATCTACATGAGCAAGATTGTAGTTGAATTTCTCCAGAAGAACCAGGATGCTACATATGAGGATCTACTGAACAAAATTGAGGTGAGCTGATTGAAGTGATCTGTGTGTGTCTCTGGTCCTGCCGGCAGCAGTGCTGACCTGTTCCTTCATGTCTTTTAAGACTACTGTTCCACCTGCTGGTCTCAACTTCAACCGTTTCACTGAGGACACACTGCTGCGTCATGCTCAGTTTGTGGTGGAGCAGATGGAAAGCTATGATGAGGCTGGAGACTCTGATGAACAGCCTATCATCATCACTCCCTGTATGAGAGACTTGATCAAGCTGGCTGGTGTTACTTTGGGCAAGAGGTGCTGTTTCCATTTCATAGTGAATTTTTTTAATTTTTTTTTTATTTTTTTTAAATGTGTTTAGTGCGAGCACTGAATAGTGGTTGACCAATATAAAAATGACTGCTGATACTTACAAGAACAGTGTGGCCAGATTTTTAGACTATTTAAACCCGTTAAACTAGCCTGAAAGCCTATGCTCTTAGCAACTGATTTTATTTTTTTTCTTTTGAAATTACCTAGAATGTTTATTATCATTGGGATAATGCCACCGAGAGGTACAATGGGTATACAAAAGAATAACCCGGCACATCTAGACTTTGCAATATTTACCCACTCTTCTTTGCAGAACTGCTCCAGTTCAGTTAAACTTGATGGAGCGTTTGTGGACGGCAGTCAAGTCATTCCACAGATTTTCAAAAGGGTTTAAGTCTGGGCTCTGACATTCACTTTTTCTCCTTCAACCACTATGTGGTCAACACTGTGTGCTTTGGGTCATTGTCATGTTGGAAGGTAAACCTTCCCATTGACAACTTTCTGGCAGAGGGCAGCAGATTTTCCTCAAGAATTTGATGGTATTTTGCCCCATCCATATTTCCTTCAATCTTGACAAGTGCTCCAGTCCCTGCTGCAGAGGAACACCCCCATAACAAGATATTACCACCTCCATGCTTTACTGAAGGAATGCTGTTATTTAGATGGTGAGCTGTAGTGGATTTCGGCCAGACATATCGTTTGGTGTTAAGGCCAAATAATTTTAGTCTCCTCTGCCGCCGAATCTTCAAGGTGTTTTGGCAAAGCTCAGTTGTGACTGCATGTGGCCTTGGAGTTAAAAAAAATAATAATTTGCAACCCTCCCATACAAATGTAGCTTGTAATGTTGTCTCATGCACACAATGATCACTTTTTGACATTCCTGCAACCCTATCAGAGTTGCTGTAGGCCTCTTGGTCGTCTCTCTGACCAGTTTCCTTCTGGCTCCTTCATCCAGTTTGGAGTGACTGAAATGCTCCAGGAAAGCTCTTCATGTTGAGTTAATCAATCACCACAGCTGATCACAGTTGAAGGTCAAATGGCTTTGTGTGCTATATTTTTCACTTGGATGTTAAGTTGCACCGAGTAAATACAGCTGGATAAAACAAACTGCCCGTCTTCATTTCAGGCTGCAAAGCAACAAAATGGGATTATTTAAAAGGCAAGCCATCCGTCATCCCACCAAGATTGAGAAGGACAGCAAGGGCCCGACTAAAGCCACCACCACTAAACTGGTCTATCAAATCTTTGACACCTTTTTCTCCGATCAGATTGACCAGAACAACAAAGATGGAGGTGGAGTGAAGAGACACCGGTGTGGTGTCTGTGAGGTAGATTGTCCAAAAATTGCCTTTGACATTGCAGGCATAGTTTGGTTGCAATGTGTCAACAAGGTGGCATTTCTTTCTTTCAGGTGTGTCAGGCACCAGATTGTGGCAAGTGCCCAGCCTGTAAGGATATGATCAAGTTTGGAGGCAGTGGCAGAAGTAAACAGGCCTGTCAGAAGAGGAGGTATGCTAACTGTGGGCAGTCTTCATACTTGCGTAATTCTGCTTGGCAGAAATGTAGTATTGTTTCCATGTGTTGTGAAATGAGACTAAATGTCAGTCACTGGTGTGTGTGTGTGTGTGGGTTTTTTTTTTGTGACTAACATGATTTTTTTTATTTTATTTTTTTGTATTTGCTACATTCATCTGATCCTTCTAAATCTGACTTGCATTTAAGTAATCACTAGTCTTTTCCTTTTGTTAATTGGTTTGATTTTAATAAAGTGAGGGTGTCAATTTTTACAGGACAGTGCGAGAATTTATACATTGATTTGCCATTAGATTTCACTCCTTCCTGAGCAGATGTTGCTAACTAAAGTCTTAATCGTGTAACATTTTAATTTCTGTAGTTTTATAAGCTTTTCTTTGTCAAACCGACTTTGACGTGCTTTAAGTCAGTTGTTACAATCTGCCCTCACTTGTTGCTTTTGCAGTGCCTCATTGTGTCCATGTTTCGTATGTGTTCAGTGCTGTGCTAATGCTAATAAAGAGCAGAATCATCTTTAGTCAGCATGTTGCCCCCTGTTGTATAGAGATTAGGAAAACCATTTTGAGAAGCTCTTTATTTCCTGCCAGTTTGTTATCCAGCTCTATGGCCTTGGATTTGTTTGCCAGAATAAAGCTAAATGGGAGTCTTGTCCCTTGTCCAGATGTCCCAACCTGGCAGTGAAAGAAGCTGAGGATGATGAGAATATGGATGAGGAGGAAGTGTTGCCACTTAAGGAGACAAAGAAAATATCTCAGGCAAAAAAGAAAAAACAGACTAAGAATAAGATCAGCTGGGTGGGCGAGCCCATCAAGGTATGTGATCTCTATCTTACAATAAGAACCTGGATGCCCACTTGCTGGACTTGAGGTATTGATGTTGTCTTTTCAGACTGATGGCAGGAAGGCGTACTACATGAAAGTGCGTGTGGAGAATGAGGTGGTGGAGGTTGGAGATTGTGTGTCTGTCAGCCCTGCTGACCCATCACATCCCCTCTACTTGGCCAGGTAACCTTTATTGAAGCTAACCTGGGTTCTTGGCACTGTATTGCTTTAAATTGGTAAGCCAACATTTTCGTTATGATTATAGGATTATGGCATTGTGGGAGGATGGAGAGAAGATGTTTCATGCGCACTGGTTTTGCCGTGGCACTGATACTGTTCTTGGAGAGTCATCAGACCCTCTTGAGCTCTTTCTTGTAGATGAGTGTGAAGATATGCAGCTGAGTTTTGTCCATGGCAAGGTCAACGTCCTCTACAAGGCTCCAACTGAAAACTGGTTCATGGAGGTACAGATGCTGAAGTCTGACGTTGTGTCGGTATCACACTGGGCAGGAGATTTTAATATTTGTATGCTTTCAGGGTGGGATGGATGATGACATTAAAGTGATCGAAGGTGATGGTGAAAGCTTCTTTTATCAGCTCTTGTATGATGGTGAATGCGCCCGCTTTGAGTCACCACCTAAGGTCACACCGTCAGAGGACCGCAAGTATAAGTGAGTGCTCCGTTTAGACCTGGTCTTTCTTACAGGTGTTTTTTATTTTTTCCTGTGCATGCATTTCTACATGACCCGTTTTATGGCAGGTTCTGTGCCAGCTGCGTAAGGAATAGGGAACGAGAGGCTCAGGAATTGCCTAATGTCTATGAACCCCTGGAGGATGAGGAGAGCGACTCTAAAGTCTTTTATGGTTTGGCGACCCTAAAGGGCGAGCAGCACAGAGTAGGGGACAGTGTCTATCTTCCCCCAGAGGCCTTCAATTTTGCGTAGGCTTTTATTTTATTTTTTTCCCTGCCTTAAGCTATTCTGAGGGTGAGAGCCATTTTATTAAAGGTATGTTTCCCTTTTAGGGAAAAGCTTGCAAGCCCTGTTAAGCGTTCTCACAGGAAAGATGATGTTGATGAAGATCTTTACCCAGAATACTACAGGAAGTCCTCTGATTACATCAAGGGCTCAAACCTAGATGCTCCGAAGCCCTTCCGTATTGGGCGCATCAAAGAAATCTTCTGCAACAAGCGCAGTGATGGAAAGCCAGATAGAATGGATCCCAAACTGCGGCTCTACAAATTTTACAGGTGACATTTTTCTTCCTTTTTAAGCAGGTCTGTTGGCTAATATAGCTTCTTGAAGTACAAACTTTAGCTTGAAGTTTCCACTAAGGCTGTACATGAACATCACCCGAGTTCTTTTCATGATGACTGTTGCTTTCAGGCCTGAAAACACTCATAAAGGACCAAAGGGTGCCTACCATTCTGACATAAACCAGCTTTACTGGAGTGATGAAGAGGTGACCGTGAACATGGCGGAGGTGCTAGGCCGCTGTCAAGTGGAGTATGCAGAGGACCTGGTGGAAAGTTTTTATTTATTTTTTTTTCCCATTTCGATTATCACAATTTACGTTGATGTTTTTCATTGATGCAACTGCATGCCGTATTTTTATATGAAAATAAACTGAAAAACTTTAATTGCATTTCTATGGTATTAAGCCTCAAATTTCAACTATACATCGGATTGGTTTCTTTAAATTATAAAAAAAGTACAAATATGAATGGTATTATAATGTTATATTAAAATAATGGGGAAAAACCCTTAAGATAACTTGTAGAAAGAAAATGCATCTTAAGCACGCAGAATAATATAAGTGGACTTTGAACGATTAATTGCCGCTTTGAATGATTGTAATTGTGGCATCCATAATTGTAATGGAGATTAGAAATTTGATTAATTGTGCAGCCCTATCTTGAGTGCTTTTCATTTTCACCTTGAAGGTGTTTTGACGTTTGGAAGGGAGCTACGTGGCTCATCAGTGGCTTTAAAAAAATTAAAATAAAAAGTGATATTTTTGCATTTGATTTGCAGGATGTAATGAACTTGTATCAAGGCCGCAGTTTTTCTGGAAGCGGGAAAGTGATTTCCTGTGAGACCTACAGGAAGTTAGTCAACAGGATAAAAGAAGCTCGTCATTTAACCCTTAATGCGCCTCTTAACGGGTTAGATGACTAGCTTGTTTTAGCCTCCTGAATGTGTATTTAGGTCTTGCGACGAGAAAAGGCACTTTGGTGTAAACCACTGGTTTAGCGGTTTTAAATAGTTGGATTTGTGTTGTAGGACATGAGCGCCCTGGTGGCGGCCCGTATGCGTCACATTCCTTTGGCTCCTGGTTCTGACTGGAGGGATCTGACCAATATTGAGGTGCGGTTGCGGGATGGCACCACCTCAAAAAAGCTTCGCTACACTCACTCCGACAAAAAGAATGGCCGCAGTGGCACCGGTGCACTGAGAGGAGTGTGTTCCTGTGCTGAGGGTTGGTCCTACCCAAAAATTAAAAATAAGATGGATCTTTTTGTTTGTTTAAAATAATAATAGAAATCCTGACTTGACAGTTACGGTTTCTCATTGCACTAGGAAAACCGTGTGACCCTGCAGACAGGCAGTTCAACACGCTGATTCCCTGGTGTCTGCCTCACACGGGTAATCGCCACAATCACTGGGCTGGTCTGTACGGCCGTCTGGAATGGGACGGGTTCTTCAGCACTACAGTTACCAATCCTGAGCCCATGGGCAAGCAGGTGTTGCAAACATGCTATATGTTAACGAAAATAAACTGAAAAACTTTAATTGCATTTCTATGGTATTAAGCCTCAAATTTCAACTATACATCGGATTGGTTTCTTTAAATTATAAAAAAAGTACAAATATGAATGGTATTATAATGTTATATTAAAATAATGGGGAAAAACCCTTAAGATAACTTGTAGAAAGAAAATGCATCTTAAGCACGCAGAATAATATAAGTGGACTTTGAACGATTAATTGCCGCTTTGAATGATTGTAATTGTGGCATCCATAATTGTAATGGAGATTAGAAATTTGATTAATTGTGCAGCCCTATCTTGAGTGCTTTTCATTTTCACCTTGAAGGTGTTTTGACGTTTGGAAGGGAGCTACGTGGCTCATCAGTGGCTTTAAAAAAATTAAAATAAAAAGTGATATTTTTGCATTTGATTTGCAGGATGTAATGAGGTAAGCTTTAGAGTTGCTTGCAGTTTTTCAAGCAAGTACTTGGAAAAAAAGCTAATTACCACAGATTAAGGAACATAACTACAGAGTGAAAGCGATAACTGCATGTTTTATCTTTCGCATTTATTTGGATCACTTGGGAGACCACATCTAGACCTCCTGGAACATTTATGTAACTCTCTCAGTTGTTGGAGGGTCTGGAAAGACAAAATAAATCACAATT